ATCCATTTGTATGATGTTCCCAGAGTCAGCAGCTCTGGGAACACAGAGCAATGAGGGTTTCCTCCACTGGGACAGGTGAGATCAGGAGCTAATGGGACATCATATTAGCTTGGAAATTCTGTCTTCTGTGGACAGACGGTGAGTGGCAGAAGCAGTCCAACACTGATGGACTTAACATACTAATCTGTGTGCATGCAGGTGTATTTTACCATAATTTTTTAAAAAGTAACAGAGAAGAACTGGCTTTGAATCTATTGCACTGTCTAGACATAGCTATGCTGTAAGCTGTCAGGGGACCCCTTCCTTCAGGACCGCCGGGGTGATGGGGTACATTAATGTACATGTAGAATGGAGTGTGTTGGGGTCAATGTGGTAGCACCTCCACTTCCCTGCTCTTTCAGGTCAAATAGGCAAAGTAGGAGATAGGCCACCTCTGCCCTGAAGTCAGTACCTGACTCTCTTTTGAATGATTGGGGCTCTGTACAGAACACTTGAGTTAACCTTTGGGAGGTAGAGAGCAGGGCTAGCTTTCCCCTGGGACTGTCCTGTCCTGCCCTGTCTCCCTGCAGTGTCCTCTCCCCAGCTTGCCCTCCTTCCACTCTAGGAGCTCATTTTGGTTACTGGTGTCTCTGCCCTCAGCATCATCAGCTGGTTCGTTCGGTCCTTCAAGTATGTGTATGGCCTTCGCTTTGAGGTCAGAGGCCAGAAGAAACTAGAGATGGATGGGCCCTGTGTCATCATCTCTAATCACCAGAGCATCCTGGACATGATGGGTAGGCTGCCACCAAGGCTTGGCCACAGAGAGGGTGACCTTTTGCAGTCTGGGCCCTGGGTGGGCTGGGGCCTCTGGCTGGGGCTGGTGCAGGACAAGGCCTCTGGGTCTCTTTAGCCATGGGCCTCCCTCAAGCTGGGCAATAAGAGCAACAGGCTGTGCTAGACATGAGTCATAGGACTGCACCACAGGCTTTGGCTATTTCCCAAGAGAAAAGACCAGGCCAGAGGCAGGGGCGTTAACAGGTAGGCCACCAGCCCCTCCTCCCAGGGAGTACCAAGCTGGGATCTAAAACTGTTCTTCTTCTTTCCAACCCCTGCACCCTTCCTCTCTCCACTTTGTCTGTGACTCTCCTTCTGTCTCTCTCCTGCCTGCTTCTCCATCGGTCCCCGTCTCTCTCTCTTGTCTCTCGTCCTCTTTTACTGTTTGTCTGCACATCTGTTTCCATCTATGTCTCTCTTCTGCCTCACTGTTTCTCTCCCCCTCTCCTTTCCATGTAGGTCTCATGGAGATACTCCCAAAGCGCTGTGTTCAGATCGCCAAGCGGGAGCTGCTGTTCACAGGGCCTGTGGGCCTCATCATGTATCTGGGGGGTGTGTACTTCATCAACCGCCAGCGGGCCAGAACTGCCATGTCCCTGATGGCTGACCTGGGTGACCTCATGGTCAAGGACAATGTGAGTAGAGACAGCACAGCATCAAAGCCCATTGCTGGGTGGGCTTCAGAGGAGGGGAGCACAGCTTTCTGGGGTGGCTAAGCAGGGTAGGGGCAGCCTAGACACTTTTCTCTTTTCTACTTGGCAGCTCAAAGTGTGGATCTACCCAGAGGGTACACGCAACGACAATGGGGACTTGTTGCCCTTTAAAAAGGGTGCCTTCTACTTGGCCATCCAGGCCCAGGTAGGCCAAACTCTGCCCTCCTGGGGTGGGAGGCTGGACATGGGTCATGATGGTTTAAGGTTGAAGATGATATCTGTTAGACTGGGGACTACTGACCTTCAGGGACCTCCTCTGCTCTATCTGGAAAGGGTCTCCCCAACAGCTCAGCCCCTAGCACTTGGGCAGGTTAGTGACCCCTGGCAGCTCTGAGAACATGAACACCAGCCTCCGCATACACTAGCTGGCCAGGTGAATAGTCTCCTTTATTTGGGGTTTCATCAAAGATGGAGGTAGGAGGGCAGTTTGCTCAGCATAATACGGCAGATTGTGCCTAGAAATTCCCGATGCCCTCGGCCCTAGCTTTTGACCATAGTGAGGCTGAGGAGCAGGCTGAGTAGCACACATGAGCTATGTCCTGGAACCTTGGACCTCCCTTGCCCCTGAACCTGTGGTGGGGAAGTTAGTGTGGACCAGAAGTCCCTGGGCATCTGCCATGGACCAGGGGATCCCTGCTGTATGAGGTCACCACTGGAGGACAGGGGAAGCCTTGTCCCATCCACCCCTGTGGCAGGCAGCCTCTCTGGCCCCTGGTGCCCAGCCCTATACAAAATGGCATGTACCTTTCCCTGAGGTTCCCACCGGTTCCAAGAGGTTGGGAAACCCCGGGCTAGAACAGGTACTGCACTGTGACCTCCAGTCTGTGTAGTGAATAGGTGGTCCTTGGGCCTGGGATTGAAGTCACGGGTTCTCCTTATCTTGAGGTATTGGCAGATCTTGAGACAAGAGAGAAACTAGGGGCTGTGGTAGGGACAGGCGAATCCAGAGCTTTGATTCCTGCCCCTCCCCCAGGACCTGGTAGGTGCACCCAGGGTTAATTATTACCCCAGTGCCACTGTCACCATTGGAGTTGACCCTGGGGCTTTCCTGGAATACTGACAGGTTCTAACCCCCTCCTCTAGTTTCCTGAGAATGAGGCAGGGTAGGAGGGGAAGGGAGGATAACCATCCTCCACCTCCCTCCCCAGTGCTGAATGAAGCCTTGCCCTCCCATTTGTAGGATATTTGTTGGGGGTGGGGAGCACAACAAACATACTAACCCAGGGAGCTTCCTGGAGGAGGTGATGAGGGGGACTGGACGACGTGGGTGGAGAGGTCTGCCACAAGAACTCCTAGCAGTAGCCAAGGCTCCCGTATCCCACCGTCCCTCAGTGTGCATCCCTGTCCACAGGTGCCCATCATCCCAGTGGTGTACTCCTCTTTTTCTTCCTTCTACAACGTCAAGACGAAACTCTTCACCTCAGGTGAGCCCACCAGAGCCACACAAAGGAGCTCACAAGCCTGTCGTGCGCTTTTATTCACTCTTGAGACGGGTTCATGTACCCCAGACTGGCCTATAACCCCTTACATAGCAGAGGCTGAGCTTACTCCCCTGCTTTCACCTCCCCAGTGCTAGGGTTCGAGGTGTGCTCCACCATGCCTAGGTTATGTGGTACTGGGTTTCATGCATGCTTACACAAGCACTCTCCCAACTGGGCTACAATCCCACCCTCGTGAGTCCTAATTCAGCAGTCACAGTCTTGGGCCCCTGATAGCTGAGTTCTCACGGTGAATGAATGAGGGAGTGAGTGAATCTGGGACACCCATTGCCTCATCTTATTGTTCTAAGTGGGTTTTTCAGCTTTTCAAGTTGAAAAACGGGTTCTAACCATGGTTGAATTTCTGAGAGCATTGTTGGTCCAGGCTGTGCAACACAAATAGGGACCTGTGGTGGCCCTGCTGGGGAAGGGTGGGAATTGTAAGCTGTCCAGGCTTCCCTACATGGGCCACTGCACAAGTGCAGCCTCCACCTCTTCCACTAGGGCAGTAGCTTCCAAGCAGGTACCCTGAGCCTGCATGTAGCTTATGCGACCCTACCCTGGGAATCAGGGCAGTCAGCAGTGTAAGGGCAGTGGGACGAGTCAGGCTCCGCGTCCCACATCTGGGCCCCAAGTGCTCTTCACTGTGGAGCACTGAAGGAGCAAGCACGATGGGGATGCTCAGGGGTCACAGAGTGCAGTTTTGGGGACAGAGACATCCTGAGTCCTGGGCAGTGGCTACAAGGGAAGGGGAGGGTTGCTAAAGCTTACTGGATACATGTGTCCATGTTGCCTCAGTTTCAAACATCGTTTCCTGCCTAGGAACTGAGGATGAGCAGCAGGAAGGGGTGGCAGCCCCAGTGGGGCCTGTAAGCCCTGACATATCCCTGCTTCCTCCCCAGGAACAATCAGGGTACAAGTGCTGGATGCTGTCCCTACCAGTGGCCTTACGGATGCTGACGTCACCAAGCTTGTAGATACTTGCTACCAGTCCATGAGGGACACCTTTCTACAAATTTCTAAGATGCCCCAGGAGAACTGTGACATTAAGGAGGCTGGGATCATACCAGCTCAGTAGCCCAGGCCACAGGGGCAGGGGAGCTGGGAAAAGGCAGGTGGGAAGCAGAGGCTGGAGGATGGACAGAAGGCCATACCCTCCCACCTACCAAACATCACCTTATCCTGCTCCCCTGCTGGCCTGGCTCTCATTGGGGCCTGGAAAAAGGAAGCCCTTTCTGGCACAGGCCTTAGACCCAGGACCCCATGTAACTTCCCACTTCATGCCTGTGCCTCCAGAATCTAGAGTCCAGCAGGTGGGCTGACCCACAAGACCACAAGACACCAAGGAGTGGGCAACATGCTACCCAATGTCCACCCATGGTGCGGGATCAAAATTCAGGAACCAGGCCATGGCCTGCATCAGGCCATCAGGAAAAGGAGGAACTTGGTCTCCCAGTTTCAAGGAAGCCTGGGTTGCACAGCACTGGAGGGCAGAGCCTGCCACACCCCCACTGTCCGACGATCTCAGTCACAAATCACTGCTGTACTTGGTTCTTTTTTTTTTTTTTATAAATGAACTCTCAGAAGTGCCTAGAGACCAGGTGGGTCTCTTTCAGAGGGTGGGTAAGGGCTCTTCCCCAGGCCTCCATCTATATGGATTATATGGATGTATATGACTAGCCACGTGGTCCCTTCAGGGGCCACAGTGTAGAAGTCCCCTGCCCCACCCCCAAATTGCAGGCAAGTGGTGAGCTGTGTTTCTCTGAATGTGTGTGCTCCATGGAACTAAAGGGTAGGCAGACCATGGACCTGACAGCATGACGGGGATAGGCTGAAGAAGCTGCCTTTTAGTCTCTGGCCGTGTGTGGAACCAGGAAATCACCAAGAAAAAACTGGGGCCTTGTCCCTTCCTGCTGCAGTTCCTTTTTGCAGACAGAGACAGGCCCTTCATTTTACCTAATGCCTACATGGTCCCAATTTACCCATTGACAGCAGCTCAAGTCCCAGCTTTATTATGAAAAAGATGGGGACAGTCCCCACCTCACCTCTGGGCAGAGAGCTCTTGTACCTTCCCTGGAAGGCCCACTGGGGAGTCACACAGGACCCCACTCCCCAGGGCCAATTCCTAGGGACAGACAATGCAGGGCCTTCTGCTCACAGGCACCACCAGATGGCGCCTGAACTCTGGCTGGAAAGGATGTAATCTGGATGGTGAGATGCATGCCGTCACTGATCTTTTCTGCAAGAGCCTAGGGCAGGAGAGAGGATGCAGACTTGCAAGTCTGCCCATCCCCAGGAACTACTGCCCATCCCCAGCAGCAGTTCCATCCACCCAGCCCTGGTATCCACCCACTGGCTTCCCTAGGGTCTCTGTCGGTTGGTACTCACAGGACCCCAGTTGCTCCTCCAAGAAGGAGACCTGCTCACTCAGTGAATCAATTCTGTCCAGCTGCTGGAAGGAGTGGGCCAGCAGGCTGCCAGGGTCTTGCAACCCATGCTCTGTAGCCCGAGAGGCCAGGATGTGCAGCGGGGCCAGCACCAACTGCAGTTTCTGTTTGGAAAGATGGTTGCAAAAAGCCAAATAACCCCTTTTCACCTCTATTCCATGGGAATGCTAAGGAAGACTAGGGTTCTGTGTGGGCCCTGCTTGCCAGGAGAGAGAGCCCAAGGTCTAGTAGACACAGTGTATAACAGACCCACAGCTACAAGGTCCTGAGACCTCAGAGACAGAAGCTAGGAGAGTTTGGGAGGCCTGTGGCTTGATGAGCCTTGGCTCAAGTGGGCTCTGGGCCTCAGTTCTTATCAGCCTGGGGAATACCACACAGTGCTGCCTAGCATAGTAAGAAAGACAGCATCCTTGCAGCCCTTCCCCCCAAAATTCCCAACCATCCCATGGTTTGGAACCACAGCCCTGGAGACTGGGATCTGTGGGCATCAGCCAGACCCACTTCCAGCCTCACCTGCTCCAGCACATCCACTCGGGACTGCAGCCTGTGGACCTCCTCTCTCACCATGCTGTCCACTCCTGGGGGCAGATCCGGGCACTAGTCAGGGAGGGGAGTTTCCTGTCCCACAATGAGCTCTTAGCCTTAGGAAGACCTGTGTCCGATGCCACCACTGTGGGAGCAGAGCCTGGAGATGCAAAGCCTCTGGCAGTTGCAAGTCTCAGGCGCTGCCAAAGCACACAGCTCAGAGCAGTCTCTGGCCACCCAGGATGCTGGGGTCTCAGGTCTTGCACGCCGATGGTAGTCCTTACCCATGTCCGATGCACTCCTGGCGCTGGGCTGCTGACAGCGCATTATTACTCACGGTACGAGTTTGAAGTGTCACAGCGCGTACCAAAAGTAATAATGTGCTGTCACCGGCAAAGACACGTCTCCAGGCGGCCAGACCAGGGTGGGGCTCTTTTTCACTCAGCTGGCTGAGATGAGCCTCCCAGGTCGCCTTACCTCCCCACAATGCCTTCCAGAAACCTCTTCAGGGGAAAGCGGCCCCTTCCACCCAGGCAAGGAACCTCTCTCCAGTCCAGGATGTCTGGGCTTAGCCCTCACAGCAAAGTGCCGGCCTCCACCCAGGGCTATCTGCCCTATGTCTTCCATGCTCAGCTCAACCACTGAACAGGGTTCACAACCCAACAGAAACCCAGGTCAGTCACAGCAGGGCGGAAAGGCAAGTTTACCTGTTGTGGGGCTTGGGGCCATAAGGGAGGGCCTCTCCTCAGGCAGGCAGAGCAACCCATCTGCAGATGGGCTTTGCCCCTCCCAACACTGGCACCAGTAACTGCCCACAGTATTGACACAGCGCTGGGGACAAATGGCCTCTCCTGTACTGCATTCATCCACATCTGTAAGAAATGAAGGTGTCAATCTAGTATGTAGGCAAGGTCCTGGTCACAGAGCCACCTATCAGAACCCACTTCAGCTAGCAGTAACCTAGGACAGACAAGGCACCAAAAGACCCCTCCCTCAGGAAGAGTGACGCTTACCTGTGTGGCAAGTATCTCCTTGCCACCCCACAGGGCAGTGGCAGTGGCCTGGACGGACACAACTCCCTCCGTTCCCACACGGAGGCTGGCATATTGCTGTGGGTAGGAGACATTGCTGTCACCGAACTCGGAAGGGTCCCCTGAGCCCCTTGCCAGCTGGAGAAGGGTTGCCTTGTAGCAAGGATGCACTGCTGGGGGGATGGAAGGCAGCGGGCAATCTGCTGGGCAGTAGGAATTGGAATCTCTCACATCAGGCACAGTACACACTTGCCCTCACCTGCTCCACAAGCCCCAGGAAGCCCTCTGGTCCTCTTCCAACCAGGGCAGCAGGCATAGCGAGGCCTAGTGGGAGTTGGCCCAGGGCTGCGGCGATAGGCCGTCCGGTAGATGGTTCTGTGGTAAATAAAGGTGGTTCAGAGGTGTCCAACATGGGATCTCTGGCCAAGGCCTTCTTCAGGCAGGCTGCACCCTGCCCACCTCATCTGTTTGTGGACACTTGGCCAGCATCACATCCAGGGTCTCTGAGGTCCCTTCCCAAGGGAGTACAGTGGGGCTGGCCCCTTCCTGCAATGGCCACTTCAGAGCTGTCTAGAGCCCGGCTTTCTTTTCTCCCCTGGGTTCTGGGTTCTAGGTCCCTGGTGTTTAAGCTGCTTGCGGACTCCAGCACTTCCCTAACTTTGGAGGTTCAGGAGCCTCTGAAATCAGGCATCTTGAGCCAAGGAGGAGGTCATGCACCTAGGCCCTTTTTGGGTGCTTCTCAGGCAGAGGGAGGGACTGAACTCCCCATCAAAACAAGGACCTGCCCCCTTGGCTGTGTCCTGAGGCCATGTGCTGCTCAAACTGTCTTGCTAGCCTGATGGGACATCTGAAGGTCCACATGGGCATCTGCTAGGGCTCCAGGATGGGCCCAGGGTGACAGGGATTTGCAGAGGTAACCACTATCTCCGTGGATCAGGACTTCTAGCTAGCAGTGCTGAGAAGGGGGGAGTAAGCACTCTGGAAGTGGAAGGGTTCAGACGCAATGAGAAGCCCCCATACATATAGGAGATGCCCTTTGTGGTGACATCTTCTCAGAGGACAAACTTGGGCCTGATTACACAGCATTCTTAGGTACCAGCCTCCAAAGCTGAGAGCCACATTGATCCCTGATGTCAAGGATGCCTCACTGTTTTGGCCTCAGCTCCCCAGTTCAGGGTGAGACAGGCTCTTGGGCCCCAGGGATTGCTGTGCTTGGCAGTGGTGGGATAAGCAGTGGCACTCACCGGTAGGTGCTGCAGGCTCTGTGTCCATCGCAAGTGGTGAGGAAAGGCTGGTACACACGCTGCACAAAGGACTCTGAGGCAGGCCCTCCGGAAGCCCCCATGGCACACACTCTACGGCTATAGGGGAAGAGGTCAGCTACTGGTCTCTCCCAGCCCAGGTATGGGGAAACATGGGGCACGGAGCGTCTCAGTGTTGCTCTGAACAGGGTCTTCTCTGGAGCCCACAGGGAATTCTCTCCAAGTATTGGGGCCTGCCTTGGGCAGGGTTATGACCTTAGTACCCCAAGGCATGAAGGCCTTGCTCACCTGGGCCTGTAGACATGCTGGTCAGTGCCACCTGCTGCCAACACTAGAAACCATGCCATAAACAGTTCTCGGGAGCCCCACATGGTCTGCATCTATGAGTGGGGTAGCCTTCTTTTGCTGGCCTAAGAAAAAAAGTAGGATCCTGTCATGCTCCTGTGGAATCCCCTAGCCCAGGCCTCCATCAGAGTCTGTACCCTTGGTTACTTGCTGGGTACTGAGGCCAACACTACCCCAGGGATAGCATCCAAAGACAGTGCCAGCTCTCTTTCTGCCTCTGGCCCATCTCTGCCAGCCAAGGTCTCCCCTCATCAACCACAGAGATTAGGCCTGATGGCCAGAACTCCTGGGGCAGGAGGAATCTGAGTCCTGCTAGGGTCAGGAGCAAACCCTAGAGGGCAGTGGGGGTTCTGGGTGGGGCCTAGCGTGAGTAACTAAGCTAGCCCCCCCACACCTGGATCAAGGGCTTTCCATATTGTTCAATGTCTGAAATGGAATGCTGTTAAGACTTGCCTCCATGTGGCCCTTTTGGGCCTGAGGTTCTTTGCCAAATACTCAGAAAGCCCCCAGGGCATTATGGATTTCATAATATATAGATGTCTGCTACCTACAGGTGCACACAGGCAAGGCCATTGTGAGGTGTGCATGTTCTGGCCAGCAAGGGGTCTCACAGCTCACAGAGGCACCCCTCTCGGTCCAGAGAGTGTATACAAGCACCTCCCAGCTGCCAGGGCAGTGGCCCTGTTGAGCTCAGCCCTGGGACATTATGGAACCTCCCCCAACATGCCTTTGGAGCCCATCTCCAGCCCTCTTCTGGCTGTGTGTTAGGGAGCAGAAAGGCTGGTGAGGAATGCAGGAAACCCCAGCCCAGATTTAATGGCCTGTGAAATGCCTAAGGGGCTGGGACAGACCTGTGCACGGAGACAAGGGTGGGGGACTGGCAGGGCTCCACTCAAGGCTCTTCTTGGTGCTTCCTATAGGGGCAGCTCCTCCGCTAATCCCAGACCCTACACAGCCCTACAGAACCCCTACCCGAAAGGCATGGGCCAGAAACAGGTGTAAAGGTAATCCCTTTCTTTGAGACTCAGTTTCCTCAAAGACACCACTAGGGCATCAGACCCTTCCACCAGTAGGTCCGATGGAAAACAGTGATGGCATTAAATGGTTACTAAGCTCTAGCTGCTGGCCAAGCCCCCCTTCAAGGAAAGAACAAGGCCCTACCTACTTCTCAGGGTTACTCAGTCTGCTTGGCCCTGCACTACGGGTTTAGGCAGGAAGTGGTAGGGAGCCTCCTTCCGGTACCCCCTTATCTGTTGAAACAAAGCAGGAGGGCAAGGGGATCTGGGACAAGTAATGTGGGAGCAAGAAGGTCCTAGGGAAATATCTGGGCAGGGATGTGTGAGTTGGCTGGGAAAAATTAACCCTGAAGTTGGGGGGGGGCACCTTCAGGAGGTGGGCATTATCTTGTCAAGCAAAAATCAGGTGTTCCTGAGGAATAGTGCCTAGAACGAGAGAAATCAGCCTGTGGCTGTGTGTCAAAAGTCTACAATCCCCGTGTGCCTAGCCCTGCGGCCTGGAGGGTTCCCACCCAGATGTCATTGCCCCCACAAATCTTAATTCACAGCATTTCCCTAGAGATAGGCTGTCTAGAAAGGGAACTGTGTTTTAAAAGAAGAGAAGCAATTTTTGAAAAGTCATGTTTTGTTCAAGGCCAAAAGAGGACAGCTCAGCACTGGGCTGGAAGCTCACTTCCTTTGGTGTTCAGCCACTGGGTGACCCTGCCAGCATCAGGCATAGGCTGCGGTGTGGCCTTCAGGTTGACAAGTAATCATGAACCCTCAAGTATCACCACTGGGCCCCAGCAGCCATCTCTCCTGTCCACCTACCACTCAACAGCCCCCAACGAGAGAGACGGGGTCGGCAGAGGAGGGACATGAACACCGTAGGGAGACGGCCCTAGGTCCCTTTGCGACGGGAGAAGTGTCTGGATATCAGCACCCACGGATAGATGTGGAGAGACCAGACAGACTCGGTGGGGGCGTCTTCTCCACGGCCTGGCCCCTGCTCCCTCCCAGGCTCCACGGCGGTAGGGGCAGAGTGTGATAACCCTCCCAACCCCACCTAGGACGACCGGCCGAGCTATGCTGTGGGGTGCTGCGACCACGGTGGAGGTCGCACAGGCAGGATGGGTAAGGGGAGAAGCACCCCGGCCGCCAGCAGGGGTCGCCATTTCTCAAGGCCGCAGGGCTCATTTTCCCGGCGGCTGCAGGACCGGGGCTGGGGCGTGGGGTCCATGCGCGGCCCAGCCGCGGCCCCCGCGCGCTCACCTCTTGGGTCCCTGCGATCGCTCGGCGTCGCCTGACTGGCTGCCCCCGAGCTCGGCACCCGACAATCCGGGTCACCCCGGCCCCGCCCAGGCTGCTTCCATACCCTCGCCCCCGGCGTCCCAACGCCCCGGCCCGGGGTACCTCCGCACTCACCGCGCGGTCCGGGGCGCGCACGCGCCGCCGCCGCCGCCGCCGCCGCCGTGCTACGGGGGGCCCGAGTCCCGCCCCGCCCCGCCCCGCCCTCGGCCCCGCCCCACCTGGAGGCTGCGCCGGAGCCCTACCCCCCTACCATCCCAGCCCATAGGTGCCCAGCTCCGTCCGTCCCCATTTAGCGGATGGGGAAACTGAGTCTCGGCAGCGGAGGCTTCTAAGAGTTTTGCAGCGAGTAAGCCAGATCCTGGTAGTCTAGATGCAGTCTAGCCTCTGAGTGCTGCCTCGTGAGCCTCCTTCACGCTTTGTGATTGCAGACCTGCAGCGGGATTGCGTGGCTGCTGAGGATATAGGACTAAACAGGTTCTAGGAGTCAAGAGGCCATGAATGGCTCCCACGGGGACTTGGCTAAGTCTTGAGCCTCCTGACCGAAGACTTGCTGGGAAATGGTATTAGAAGACTACAGCTGACCAGGAGACTAGATGCCAGACAAGAGGTGAAGTCAGACTGGTCCTGCAAGCATGCAAGCGGCGGACAGCATGACACACCCAGCCACAAAACTAGCCCGAGATCATTGGGCAGAATACAGAGGAGGCCTAGGTGTGACCATAAGCCCCCTGGGCAGCCATAGGCTTTTACTTGAGGAGACCTGCCAGGGATCTCTCCTGACCCCCTTGACCACTTTCACTAGTGTCACTGCCTTATTTGAGATAGTCAGGTGCTCCTATGAGCTAACAGTAACTGCCCCCCCATCCCATACCCCACCCTACCCCTGCCCCAAGACTTCCGGGTTGGTCATCTTTTCTCTCTCCCAGGCTCCATTTCTGAATTAGCTCTGTGACTCCATTGCTTCTGTGACTGTCCAGCTCTTTGGGTGCATAAGCATTGTCAGTTTCTTCAACCTTAGCCATGTTTTGGTGAACACATGTTCCTGCCCATGCTCCCTGCAAGGCAGGACTCATGGCTGCTGTCCAGAAGGCTTGTTGTCCAGGGACTCACCTGTGGTCCGGCCTCTAGTCATCCCCTGGGTACTGGTGGCAGCTGTTCTTGTGGGCAGATGGAACAGCCAGCGCCTTGCTGCCGCTGAAGGCTGTGGGTCAGAGATGCAGTATAAATTGGAGTCTTGCTTACTCTCCAGGGGCTGGGGAGAAGCTTGGAGTCCAGACCTCTGTATAGCTATGGTATTTCAACCTGCTCTAGACCTCCAGACCCCTTCTGTATCCTCATCATGATCCAGGTTGATCTGCCCCTCAGGATCTGCTCAAACAAGCAGCCACTGACAACAGTATACACGCCCTAGCTAGTTATAGGCTTGAGCCCACCTCCCTACCATCTGTCAAATGTGACCTCTGCCTCCATCCCTGAGCTACCTAAAGAAGGTGGAAGCCCTGCTGAGTAGAACTGATGCCCCCACTCCCATCATGAAGCTGAGTGCTGGGTGCAGAGCCTATACACTGACAGGAAAGCCTCAGCAGCTCAGAGCTCCAGCCTGGCCCGCCTTGGTTGGTGCACAGAAACTGAAGAGAGGGCTTCCTGAAAAAAGCCTTTTCCCCTGGCAAATGACTCTGTACCCATTGTTGTAAGTGGGGTTCCTGGGTCTCCTGGCCCCATAAGCCATGCATTCAAAGCATTTATCATTCAGTCTCAGCACTACTGAGCTGCCTCAGATACTCTGAGGGGGAGCACCCTTCAGGGCCCTTGCCCTTACCCTGTTGTGGTCACTTGAACCTTTGGCCAGCAGTTCCCTCTCCACTGTCTGCTGGGCGGAAGGCAACTCAGATAGCTGCTACTGGCTCTCTCTGCCTTCACCTAGCATGCTTCACCTAACCAGCTTCTAGTCTAGAAAAGGTGTGCTTCCCAGAGATGCCACTGACTGGGGGAGGGTCCAAGAGGCCCCACTGTGGTTTGTGGGCCTGAGAATAGGGCTCAGGTACTAGGGAGAGGGAGCATAAGATAGACCAACAAGAGCATCCAGGTGACCACACTGCACCTCACAAAAGCTATCCCTAAACCTAAAGCCCAAAAGAGATGGACTCATCCTAGCCTTGTGTTCAGTGTCCCACGATTGTACATGGTTCATCCAGGTTACAAATGTGGCTTTTGGGTTCCCATTCTAGGAAATGATTCCTGACCAGCACTCCCATTCCCCAGGAGTACTCACTCCCTACTAATGGCAAGGTGAGGAGACCCCAGCCCTGTCTTAGCAGACTGGAGGACATGAGCCCTGATCAGAGGGTCCTGCTGGGCTGAGCTCTGATGCCTACCCAGGGGTCCTCCAAAGAGGAAAAGAATGGGGCCAGGAGGTGGGCTGGATGCCAAACCGCTCTTGGCTTCTCCCCTCAGAGGTTGGTTCCATGCTGCTGGGCAGCCAGGGGTGAGGTATGGAGTCCAGGCTAAGCCACCCAGAGCAAGTGCTGGGCCAGAGGCCCTAAGTTTTTCTCAGCTAGATAGGAATGGCTGACAGTGAGGATAGCATACCTCCCAGTTGAGCAGACCCAAACCCAGCTGATGGATGTTGCAGCCATCTCATTTGGGTCCTGGGGCAGCATTCAGGGCCCACTCCACCCACTTTCTACCCTGCGGGGCTGTTCTGCATACCTGCCTCTGCCCAGGCCTGGCCGTGGCCACTTCTGCTGCCTCCATGAGCCGAAGGTGGACCCTGCCCATCAAGGGAGCGTCTGCTGCCCAAGGCCCCTCTTGAGGTCTGCCCGCCTGCCCTGTCAGCTGGAGCCTTCTTTGTGCCTGCACAGCAGCCTGCTGGTGCACAGAGGCTCCTCCCGGGCGAGGAAGGGCGGCTTTTTATGTTCCATCCCGTGTAAATCGGGATTGGGAAGGGCCCTTCCCGCCGGACTTCCTGTGTGTGTTCTCTCCTGATAACAGGGATCCGTCAGCGAGCAAACAGGAGGCCAAGGGGCCGAGGGGGTCATTAAGGGAGGGGGCCGACCACACTGTGGGGGAGGGAGGTGTTGTTCTCCTGGGACTCCAGGGTCTAGCGCTGAAGCAGCCAGACCCAGCCTGTGTTCAGAGGCAACATAGCTGCTGACAGCATGAAAGAGAATGTGTGACCAGGACCTTCCCACTCCTCAGAGGTGGTGGGACCACAAGACTATATCCACGTAGATGGCAGAAACTTTCTGCTTCTTTGGGACAGAGGAGCCTGGACCCACCCTGAATGTGTGTGGCGCAGGTACCTGAAAGCAGAAGCTGCCCTACTGGAGTCGTGACCAGGCGGGAATGCTGGTGCTGTGCAGTTGGGTGGGAACCAGGACAGATCGTCTGAGAATAGCTTGTTCTGTGCACCCAAAGGCCCGGGACTGGGGAAAACACTAGCTCAAACTCAGCTCAGACTCTCCTCCAACCCAAGCTGTGCCTGCCAGGAGAGCTGCCCAGGCCGTCAGGGAGCTCCCAGCTCCAGAGGTATGCAGATGGAGCTGCAAGTCTCCAGGCTCAGCTGACACAGGAGATGACAACCCCTGTGATCTGGAGAAGCAGAGTGCTCTTATGGTCTCCTCCTCCCCCTTAGGCCCCAGTAGGCTGCGGGAGAGAGAGGTCTTTCAGTGGTCAAAGTAGAACTCTATAATTCCCTAGGGTCCCAGTTCACAACAGTTGGGAGTCAGACCAGACACATAGAACCCATGGAAGTGGATAGGAGGGATAAAGTGCCAAGTGCTGGGCAGATGCCAAGAACAAACCCAGACCTCTGTAACTGAGAGCACCTAGAGCAAACCTTTCCAGTCCCTGGCTGTCCTTGTGGTACCAGCCTTGCCTTGGCTCAGCCTGCCTGATGATGCCTCAGGCACCTCCTTTCTGTGTCCTACCTCTCTCCCACCCCACCCAGCCAGACAATTTGGGCTAGGATGGAGGTGGGTCAGCCTGGGAGCTTCCTGGTGGACTGCTGAGTTGGAGGTGCTGCCTCCACTGTGCTGTTGCTTCCTTCATGTTATCGGCACCCTCCCTCTAACATGGCCAGGGGAGGAGACTACCATAGGTCTCAGCCTACAGACTGGGAACAGGGCTCCAGCCCATTAGGATAGTACACTTCTCTTTCCAGTGTTCACTTTCCCCACATTTGTCCCAGGGGACAAGAGAGGTTGTAGTTAACAGGGTCGTGATGGTTGAAGGGGCTTGTGGCATCCAAATTTTGATCTGAGGGTCTAAAGGTAGCTCTTAGAAAGTATGCTTGTCCTAAATGCAGACCCCATCCCCACCTTTTTCAGTCACCCAAGCTGGCCACACCCTCAGCCCTCCACTGCCTTGTTCTGCTTGGCCTCCGCTTCCACCCAGGAGCTCATACTGTCCACAGGGCCAGAATCTCCTACCAGCAGTGGGAGCCAGGTGTCCAAAGCCCTAGAGTTAGCCCTCTATCATGTCACCTGGGCCTGCCCCTCTCCATCCCAGCCCCTGAACTGAGCCATCTGCCTTTCCCTCATCCACAGAAGGATTGGCATACACTGAGCTGGCTAGATTCAGATCCTTTTGCACACTGAAAGGGAAACTGAGCCTAGGATAGGAAAGGGACGTGGCTAGGTGAGCAGTGAGGTGGAGCAGAGCTGAGATAGGTTAGCTCAGGAGCAGCACCCTGTTTTCCTCAGGGCACACCAAGGAGCCTGGGAAACCAATCATGAGACCTGGCTGTGCCAGCAACATCTGAAGGTTGCAGAGTTTTGGTCTACCCTCTCTCTGGCACTCAGTGCACAGGGAGACTGCCCAACTTACAGGTGTAGAAGGAGGACTCCAAACCAGAGCCCCACAGGTCGGCCTACAGAGACCTGTGAAGGCCCACAAGCCAGTGTGGGTAGTCTCGCTAGCCTGTTGCCCACGTGTCTCCTGACTACTCTGCCTTCCCCTGGCTGACTGAGACATTCAAGAAGAAAGTTCCTCAGTTGAGACTCAGCATGCCGGCTTTGCCCGACACTGTCACCTGAATCCCATCATGGGACCTGACTCACGGACAGCCCTCAGTCCCAGGGACAGATACAGAGGGCAGGCTGGAGTTGGGCAGAGGAGAAGGAGGGGCTCCGAGGGGAGGAGGAGCTGGTTGACAGCCCCTGGAGCTGTAGAAGAAGCTGGGGTCTTGGGAGGTGCTCAGAGACTCCTCCACCCTTCAGCTTTTCTTCTCACTGGTGGAACTTATTTACAGCCGTTGCACTTTGGAAGGAGCTGGGGGCATCTTGTACCCAGGCCTGCCATCACCCATTGCCAGTAGGGCACCCCACATACCCTCCATCTCCCACAGCTCCTGCAGACTGGAGACCAGATGGGCATGGCTCGTATCTGGGCCTAAAGCCCTGGACCAGGAGCCAAACCCTGATTTAAGTGGCACTGAAGGCAGGAACTACTGTAGTCAGGAAACTGGAGTTCTTCCCACGCTGTGCCTCATTTTCCCCATGTATCTCTACTACCTTCTAGCCTACCTGTCAATGCTCTGAGGTTTATGGTTAAAGGAACACAGTTGCCTTACCTTCCCACAGGGAACAGGGACAGGGGCTGGACAGTCCCTGTCTCCCAGGACTCTCCTTGGACCCCTCACGGCTGAACGTCTGGCCTCTGCAGCCCCAGGAGAGGGAAGACCCAGGTCGCGGCAGAGGCCTGCGTGGGCATCTTGAACAGTGCAAGACCGAGAGGCAGTAGGCACAGGCATATGAGCCAGCTGCACCTCAGGAAGGAAAGACCAGCACACTGCACAGCAGAGAGATGGGGCTTCCTGTTTATATCCCAGCTTGGTGACTGGCCTAGGGACAGGATGGCTCTGTCAGCCAAGGCTGGACCCAGCTTCCCATCAAAGGATGAGCCTGATTGAATGATCGGTCCTCACTGAGAGCTCTAAAGGACATGACTGGGCAGGTTGCTGCATGGACTGATAGTCCTCCACCACGGGGGAAAAAGGCTTAGGCCGACAGATGTGGGGTGTGTGGTATGAGCTGAGTTTCCACTCCCCTTCCCTCCATGCCTATCCCTCCATTAGGCATAGCATGTTATGGATGTCTAGTGCATCCAGCACCCCAGGAGACACCCTTTCTTGAGAATTCCCCCAGTCAGCTGAGGCTGCAGAAGCTCACAGGAGCGAGCCAGGAGACAGGGAACAGAGGTCCTGCACACAGAGCCCAAGCATAGGCAGTAGAGGTTGCTCGGGGACACTTGGCCCTGCCTCCCCACAGTGCTCCTGGAGACCACCATACGGCCATGGTGACCTTTGGTCTGCTCTCCACTCAATGTGTAAGCCAGAGGCTGGGAGTTGTTCATGGCCTCCCTCTCCGGCCTTCAGAGTACCCCATGGCTGGGAGGTATCTGTGACCTCTCCTCGCTCAGCCTCTGATATTTCCCCATAAGCTTTGCCTCTAAAAAGAGCTAGGAGTCGTTGCCCTCCCTCCCCCCATCACTATTCCCATTCTGCAAACCACCAACGCCCTCTGGACCTCAGTAGGTTCCCTGCTCATCATGCTCATGTGTCATAAAGCTTCACAGAAGTGGTATGGCTACCTCTAAAGCTTCTCTCCACATTCAGGACAAAGTCCCATGGATTACTTACATGGACCCTTCCCCATCCTCCAAGGAGCAGGACAGGGACAGGAGACTTTGGGGGAACAGAAGCAATTCAGGACAGGCACAGAAAGACTAAACGTACAACTTGGCATTATAGGGTATTAGTGATAAAGCAACTGTAGGCATGAATGTTTACACAAACAGCCCTGTTACCAGATGGGGACTCAGGCTAGAGACAGCGCCCCATTGCCATAGCCCAGGTCACCCACTACCCTGACCACTATAGGCCCATGGGATGTCATGAGATCCACAGGTACTGTTGTTACTTGTGGCCGCTGCGTCTCTCCACTTCTGGTCATGCTGTAGTTTATGGGAGCATACCCCAACATTGACCCCCATGCACAGCTACACTCCATGGGGCCTCTCTCAGAGCCCAGTGTTCTCCCAGACCTGAGCACCTATGCGTTCTTTGTACCTAGGCTGTCTGTGGGTTACTGATTCCAGAAAAGGCAGGAAGCCAGTGACTGTGGGATAGGTCTCCCTATACTGTAGGAGTGCTGGGTCCCTCCACACTGTCAGCAGGCAGCCTATATACTGCTGTCCCATTTTAGCTGTTCTGGTGAGTCTACAGTGGCTTTGCACACTATTGCTTTATCAGTGTCAAGACTTGAGGCACAGAATTCCACCGTAGGGAAAGAAAGATTCATTCCCTAAGGAGATTTCCTGGCTTCTAACACAGTGCTGGGAACTCAGGCGGAGCAGGCCAGAGTCTGCAAGCCTCAGCAGAAGCATCATAACGGCCCCAAGGATGGAGAGAGGTGTCATGGACCGGGCTGAAAAGAAGTGGGGGATATGTATGGGTATGCTAGCTTCTTCTGGAATCTAAGCTCTTCCTACCACAATTTGCCGAGCTTTGTGGATAGGCAACCCAACCCTTAATAACAGGGAGGTCCCCAAGAACTCAGGTGCTGGGTCAAGTCAATGGAAGCAGACATTAGGTCAATATCCCAGCACCCATCTAGAGCCATCTTATCCTCTTCTGCTCTCCCTGGAAGAGAGAACCAGTGTGGGTGCTCAGAAGCAGGGGACAGTCAGGCCTCCCAGGCAAGCCTGTGCTACTGGCCATGTCTGGAAGGAGGAGCTATCTCACTACCCCACACCAAAGCCCCAAGGAACATCTGTTCGGGTCACAAAGCCTGTCACTTTAGGGTCTAGACTGCCAGGGCTGAAGCCTCCCCAGACTTTGTAAGGGTGAACTAAGGGGGATGCCTCTCTCCCTGATGACAGCCAGTTGGCCACAGTGGTCAGTGGAGGCAGGGATATCTGCGAGAGGATGAGTCAGTGTCCATGTTGTGAGACTATTTTGGGCTTCCATGGAGGTTTCCCCATAGTCCAGGGCAGAGTATGGGGAGCATCGGGAGTATTGGGGAAGATGGAGATCTTCAACATCACTGCCATGGTACAGACCCATGGTCCCAAATTCAGAGGCTGGGTGACAGTCCTAAGATTCTTCTTGCCTCAAGCACCCATGCTATTCAGCTTCAAGCCGTCTACTCTTGTTATTTTTAATATTCTTTAAAAGCTTGGGGAGAGAGCGGGGGTGGGGGGAGCAGGCATCTGTGGCCCTCCAGAAATCTCTGTTTCCTCTGAGCCAGGAAACAGGAAGTGTGTGTGTGGTGGGTGATGGAGAATCGGGCCTCTGAGAACAATGGAAGCACCACTGAGGGGAAGGGGAACTACGTCAGGGCATGGGCTGCAGGAAGCCTGACCTCTCCTTCTATGAGCCTGAGGGGGCCCTGGCGTAAATTTAGCTTGAGCTCTTTTCCTGAGGAAAAGCTCAAAGGCTCCACGATGGGGGTGGGGGTGGAAGACAGATCCTTAGGGAGCCAGGGCTCCCTTCATCTATGGATAAACCGAGGCTCAGTGGTAGAAGAAGCTGGGGTTTCTGGGTTCTGAGGCATTAACTGCCTCAGTTAGCTCACACCTCTCAGCTCGCACTTTGCCTGAAAAAATCAAACAAGGCTCTCCCAGCCCTGGTTCTGTCACTGTAGCAACATGGCTCCAAGCAGCATGTGTCACCTCCCAACGCTGACTGTCTGCCATGGTGAGGCAGGGTTGTGGAGGATGGCCACCACTAAACAGAGAGCTCTGGGCTCCTTGTAACACTGTTCGGTTCATAGCCCCTGGCCAGCTTGGGAAGAGAGCCCCCTGAGGGGCCAGGCCGGGGCTCAGCAGATGGCTTCTTTGTAGCAAGAGGATGGTCACAAACATAGTCTACCCATTAATGTGTAAGATTCAAAGTGCTGGGAACAATCATAGCTTGTGTGACCATCATCACAGTCAATTCCAGACTAATGTCACTACCTCAAGAGAGCTCCGGTTGTCCTGCCAGGACAACCCTAGCCCCAGGTGACCCTCTACTGTATTTTCTATCTCTAGGGATCAGCCCCATTAGGACAGAGCTTATTGTGTCTGCCTCCTTTCCCGTTGTAGTTTTGAGCTTCCTCCAAGTCGTAGCGTGAATCACAGCTTCGTTATGGCTGAACCGTGTTTTGTTTTAAGGCTGGAACACATGGTGAGTGTCCATTCATCTGTGGACTGTGTCCTCCTTTAGCTGTTTTGAACCTCGTGCTGTACTTTTTTAGACCATAAACAACCTTTCCTGACAGTGCATCTGGCCTAAGAGGCCAGGGTCAAATGCCTGTCAGTATCTGGATCTCTTGAAGGGCTAGACCTAGCCATTTTCCATAGCACTGCCCGGTCTACTATCCACAGCCTCTGGCCAAGTCCAGGGGATCTGGAAGAGTTAATGCAGATGGGGCAATTGGTGGGGACATTGCACCATTCTTTCGGAAAGCCTGTGCAGGGTTAGAGTGAAGGACAGGTGGGAGAGCTGTTGCTGCTGTGCCCTCCTGGGTCCAGGCATAGATCTCAACCATGATCCACCCCCCCACCAGCCCCCACCCCACCAACTCCTGTAAAGCTCTTGAGGCATAACACAGACTGGGTCAGATCCTTCCGCTTGCTATATCTGAGGCACAGAGGCATAGAGAGAAGCTGGCTTGAGCCCCTGGCCTGGGACAGGCAGAGTGAACTGGGTAGTGACTCTGAGCTCTAGCATCAAGTCCATCTATATTAGAGGTGGCCAATGGAACAAGGAATCCCAGCCCCCCAAACTCTGGTGGGAGTGACATTTCTGACATGACTGGGTATCAGGGCTGGGTAAGCATAATGGCCCAGGAGTCAAGACCAGAGCCCTGGCTGGGCGGGCTAGGAACTGGCACAGGCTTTTTTGGGCCCCAGAACCAGCCTCCATCATACCTTCAAGGTCCAAAGACATGGAATACCCTTCTACAGACCCCAGGGGGACAAATCCTAGCAGGGGCCTGCTGTGGGTAAGCTGCCCTGGCCTGGACGGTCTCTGAAACCCTCAAGGATTATTTCTGGAATTTTTATCTTTAGGATTTGTTTTTCTCTTCTGCCTCAGTACCCCATAGCAGCTGTGGCCTGGCTACCATTGGCTCCTTATCTGGGATGGAGGGCCAGACCATGTGTTGGGACAACACCAGCTCCAATCAGGCTTGTGTTCAGGGTTTCCCTAGGCCCCTGGAAACCCCAGGTCCTTGTGTAGTCTCAGTTACACCTCCACCTTTTCTAGGCTTTAGGGAATGCCAAGTCTCCCCCACCCCCCACCCCCCGTTTACCCAGTCTTTATACCATATGGAGGTAGGTAGTCTCCCAGCCCTTAGCATGCCAGGAGAAAAACATGGCTGAGAAAAAGGCCAGTGTTTACCCAACCATATGGCAGTATACAGAAGGCCAGATTAGAACACAAGTCCCTGAGCCGTGTGGGTGGCTAGTACTGTTCTCTGACCTCTCCAAGCTCCTGCTCCTAATTCTAGGATTCAAGTGCAAGGCTAAGCCAGGAGCTCTGAGATCAGGCCTCTTCACCCGCCTCCATCATGGCTTCCTGGGTACCTGTTCTATGTCCTGCTCTTTCTCTCTTCTCTGCCCTGAAAGTGGCCATATAATGCTGGCCCTGGGCTTTGTCAGGCAAAAGTGGAGTAGCCCTGGCAGTTGCCATGTACAAAGAGGACTCCCCTCCAGCCCCATGCCATCCTACATGGTCCCCTCTGGACTCAGCCAGGATATCCC